CCAACAGAAGAGCATGGATTGCAAAGTTTGATCTTGACCAACCAAACAGATTATGGACATGGCTACACTTGTATGATCACCAACCTGATTGAGAAACCATTCAATGACATTGATCAGAAAGGATAAGGAAATTTCAACCAATTCTTTTCCTGCAAAGAAAAAGTCTCCGAAATAAATCAAAAACAACGAATTACAACAATAATTTAATTCCGAAAACTCAAACTTTCTGAAAAATAAGATACAAGATGAGAGACGAAAATACGATACAATAATATATAGGCTTAATTAAACTATGTTCCTGAAAGTATTGTCAAATCTCACATCACCCCTTCGGAAGTTAAAGTGGCCCACTTTGCCCTCTACCGTCAAGTCTGTTAAATCATCAGTTAAAAACCAGGGTGGTGCTAAATGCACCAACTTTGGACACCAACTCTCTAATAGAGGTGGAGCCCGTCAATACACCGTGTCCCACGCTCTATTAGAGAGTTGGTGCCTCTAGCATTTTCTTAAAAACTATGACATGGCCCGAGTATGATTCATTTTTTTGTTGAAATAGATGACACGTGTGGAAAATTATAATAATTTAACTTTTTATTTTATATATTTTCTGTCTCTTCCTCCCTCTCCATCCTTCTATTTCCCCATCCTTCACCAGTCCCAGCAGATATCCCCCCAGCCCTAGACCCACCCACCCCGATACATTTCAGAATTATTTCACTCAACACTAAAATCAAAGCCATTTAGAGGAGATAAATTGTTCACTAGGAATTTCTAAAATTTTATTCTTATGAACTTCAACAAGGTAAAAGGGAACAACGAGATCTTTCCATACACCCATATTGGAGAGATAGGACTAATTGTGATGGGCTCTCACACGTGTCATCCGTTTAAGCAAAAAATTAGGTCCTACTTGTGCCACGTCATTGTTTTTAACTGGTGGTTTAACGGATTTGACAGTGGGTGGCAAAATAAGACGCAAAACAATGGTTAATAGGGCAAAATGGGCCACTTCAACTTCCGAGAGACGATGTAAGATTTAATCATATTTTCAGTAAGCACTAGTATAATTAAGCCTTATATATAAATATATATTTTGGAGGACATCAAAACTTAGTTGCTAAGTAACATATTAACGATAAGCTGTTAAAACATGGATTAAATTAAAATGCATTTCAAAGTTATTATTATTATTTTTAGGGACATAAAGAATTATTGTTTTGGTTCTTGATGATGATACCGTAGAGGTAAATATTTATCATGTCCTCTTATTAGCTGTATCCATATATATATATGCACTATACAAAGAAAATGATAAAGTTTAAAACGCGTTTTTTTCTTGGGTCCATAAACACAGGAAACTTTAAGCCTTTTTTCACATGACTAATTGGCATCCACTAGAGAGAGAGAGAGAGAGAGAGAGAGAGAGAGAGAGAGAGAGACTAGTCCTTTTTCTATCTAAAGATAATTATCCATTAATTAGTTGCTTTTGTGATACACATGATTAATCGATTGATACATTTAGAGATTTGAAATTTGAGATGAGCCTCCCATAACAGTAAACTTTAAATTTAAAAGGGGGGAAAAAGCATATGCATTTATAGTAAGGGGTCATCCTCTATGTCACCTCGTCCATTGACACAAGTTGAGCATGCATGCATCCCTCTCACTTGGTCAAAGCATGGATGCTTTTTGTCAACCACAGTCCAAGGTTGCCTCTTCTCTTTCATATACTATTATATTAATTATAATTCATGCTTAAATTCTATGTCCAGCAGCTCATCCATATCTACCAAACCCTCAATTTCATATAATGGTCAACAACAAAAATGCATTTTGGTGACATGAAAAATCTCGTTGATCTATTTTTATTTTTATTTTTATAGTAAGTAACAGATAAAACATCTCATGATTACCGGTTGAATACAAGCTCTTAAAATATACTTCGATACGTGCATAAGTCGTCATTTATAAACAACGCGTATCATGTAAATTCAGTTATTTAATATATGTAAAGAATCTTCCTTTTGACTTAAAAAGTTGGAAATTACTCCATACATATATTATTTAATACCGCTGGTTTTTTCTTGTGCAACTTTGGGTGGAACTTTGACATAAAAGAATGCCTTATGCCTACAAACCGGCCTCGCTGTTTCTTCATGAGCCAAGCATGACTTAGCTAGGTATTATTTTCTTAAATGTGGGGTCCAGAAGGTGTCCATGGGCATTTACCTGTACGCATGAAATTGAAACCCTGTGTGAGGAGCGATCTTCAGTGCAGCCAAAAACCAAAAAGGTGGTGGAAAGCGATGGCATGGCCACGTTTTCCCTTGTGTAATTACTTTTCACTTTGGCTAAGTCTTCTGAAAATTTAAAGTTGAAAAGCAGGAACAAAAGTAAACGGTTCACAATTCCACATGTTAGAAAAGTAAGTTCAATACTTGGCATCTAGTGAGATAGCAATTTCCTAACTCAGAAAAGTCATCAAAAGAAAATTCCATCGTTATTGTCTATGGTTTATCTTTCGAAATTGCTTGGGAAGATTCGAAGAAAACTGCACCCAATTTTATTTTTTATTTTTTTTAATTGTTTAATATTTGTGTTTTCGGTTTGAATTGTATAATATTTGTGATAAATATGTGTTGAGTGGTTTAGATTAGAGGATATACATTGAAGCCAAAAACATAAATGAATTCGAAACCTGAAAAAAATAAAATAAAAATAAAAACGGAGTCATTTGATAGTCTTAATTTAGCCAAAAAGCTACTAGTCCTAAAAGAGTCATTATAATAACGGAACGGTCTAACATCAAAATTAAGACAATTACGCAAGATCAAAGAAACTATGGTATAAGCATATCAATTAAGATTGCAAACTTAGAATAATATAAAAATGATAAAGCTTGAAAAAACCAAGTCATAACAATACAAATGACTTCGTTTAGTAAGTGATAAACTATTTTGACAGTTGAATCTAAAATTAAATTATTCGAACTCTTTAACCAATTTACGGACCATAATGCCCTATGTTGAATCATTGATTCAACTCCTGTAAATATATATAAATATATAATTCGACAGTATAAAGAAAAACTTTATTTAACTAAGCAAACTAATACAATCAGGAGGGCGTAAAACCTAACCCCGACCCATTAAATCTTCCAAAAGAGCGTCTTGCACAAACATGGGGGCAACTCACTCTATTGTTGGTTTCTAAAATTATTTTTTCCCTTTTTTGTTTGACAATTATGTTTGTTCCTATTGGTTTCTAATTTATGCCGGGGACCAAACCTCTTGTTTACATAGTTAAGGGAGAATGTGATTAAATGAGAGATTAACCATTCTAGGCAAGTTTCCTTCAAATTTTGTAGCATGATTCAATTTTTTGACTATCATTGTTAGATATTGTTGACTAACTGATGTTGCCTTTTTGACTATCAATGCCCCTATGCATCTCGAGGCTCGACTATCTTATCCTCCTTTTTTTCAGTCAAATGTCGACTATCTTATCCTTATACCTTAAAAATTGGGATAATACATATGTACCTCCAAAACTCTAAACCTACGTGTCATTAGCAAATTTAGATATATTTTTAGTTAATATGGATAGAGCATTCAAATTCGAGACACCTTTCATTACCGGAAAAAAATAACACTAATTTGAGAATTTATTGCACTCTAACAAAACTAATATACGCACTCCAAAATAAATTACTTAACATGAAACTTGCAAATAAGCTAAATTTTGATGTGCAAATAACAGTTCATTACGCATAAATCTATTTACTAGGTACAATATATATTTTATAAGGTTTTCTTCTTCTAAACAAAACCAACTACATCGATTGAAAACTATATAAGGTTTTTTTTTCTTCCTTCTCATTGAAATGATGTATTTTTTTTTCTTTCTTAAACTATATTAGGATAGGGAAAACTTAACATAGAGACTATGATGAAAATATTCATCGATATACTCATATTTTTAATCTAAAAATATAGGGAATGACAGATATTACCGATATTATAACAATACATCGTCGTGATATTGATGAATTTGATTACTCGCGTGAGTGATGCACAATGTATTTTACACTCAAATATGCTTCTTGAATTTAAGAAATTTTTGCATATTAGAGTTTCAGAACATGTTACATTGACATAAATTCGTCATGAATATGCTACATGATGTAATTTAGTATTTCCTAAATTTTGATACATAGTTTATATAGTTTTAGATTTTTTTCAAAGTTGTAGTCAATATTAATATTTTCATAAATTTGAGTACCAATATTTCCACATAAATCGGTATTTTCATTACTCTTCATCACTAAAAATACAATACGACATACACATTTTTTTCTTATTATTGCTTACAATAAGACATGAACTAAATAATCAGTAGACAAAGACATCCTAAATAAAATTAGGGGGTTTCACTAAAACACCCAAAATGGGGACTGAAATTATAAAAAAACCCAACACCCAAAACACTTTATAAACACACCCAAAAAATATACAATTGTTGATTTTGGGGTTGATTTTGGGTGTGTTTCTATGTTTAAATAGTGTTAGGGTTTTTTTATAAATACATGTTTAGGATTGGGTTTATTTATAAATTTGTAATAAAATTATACCATATTGTTCATAAAAAAAAACGACTGTATTATCTAATGATGATGTATTTGTGACACATACGTATATATATATATACATTCTCATGACGTGAAAGTATATTATAATAATGTATTGTATTATTATTTTTTATTGCTCAACAGACATTAACAAATTGATTTAATGAATGGGAATTATTGTAGTTTTTATTTTCTGGCAGAATGAGGGGACCAAAAAATTATGGCATTTTAAAAATGTGAGAAAATGTCACAAATTAAGACTGAAAATGAAATGGAAAAATGGAATATTCACTTTTGCTTTTTTTAATTTCCCCAATTAAAATAGTAAAAACACTGTGGATCTCCTCTTTCTCTCTCCCTCTTGATCCTCAAAGGTCACGCACTAAGGAAGGCTCCTTCTCTCTCTCTCTCTCTCTCCCACACACACACAGAGTCCCACCAAAGGTCACACTCTTGAAAGCGTTTTTGCTCCCAAAATCTTCAGTCTCCCACTATTCCTTTTCCACCTTTCTCTGTCTCTCTCTCCTTATGAAATGAAGAACAAGTCTCACTCTTCACACTCTTCTCCTTCTTTAACCACCACCAACAAGAACAACGCTCTCTGCTCTCTCTAGCCCTCTGCAACCTATTCTCTCTGCTCACTCCTCACAACCCGTCACAGCTTGATTTCACAAACCACACTTGCACGACTTTCTCGGGTCGAGAAAAAACCGGGTCAGGAAGAATACTCTGAAACCGAACCAAGAAATGGAGAAGAAACAAGGCTTCTTCTCAGCTCTCAAAGACGAGGTGGTTCGGGGTCTCAGCCCGTCTCGGTCTCGGGCCAGCAGCCCGGCCCGGTCCGGGTCGCCCATG